CATAAGTTAGATATGATGTTATTCTTCTATTTTTGTATGTTTCTGAATCAAGATTAGATAAACAACAGATGGGCTGCCTTCTGTGGCTGAAAATAGAAATAATGGGTTTTTTGTTTGTTTTCTACACGAATAATTTTTTAAAAATTCTACAAATGGCTCTAATGTGAACTTGACAGTCTTAGCTAAGCTGTTTCTATTACGGTAACACATTTCTATTACTGAAACACAGGTTCTAGTATCAAAATTCCTTGGGACATACATCATTGGATTAGATGGATGAAAGAGAAAAAAATGAAGGGGGAAACTTTAGGAAAGGAAACATGTTCTTTTGAAAATCAATGTTTAAAAGACAAAATGATGATTCTAATACAGAATATAAGAACAATTCTTTTTTAAAGAATTATGTACTTGCAACAATAGAATAATGAAATTTTTCTTTGTGCAAGGCACTACAGTATAGAGGCCTAACTTTATTTTCTCATTTAATCTTCACAGCCACCTATGAAGTAGATATTACTATATTTAACAATTATTCCCTATATTTTACATGAGGAAACTGAGACTCAAAGTGTTACAGACAGGACTTTAAACCCCATGTTTTTAATAAATATGTTATATGTGAATGGCTTTCTAGAAATATCAACAAACTTTGAAATATGTAACTCTTTCATAAAATGCTTTGAGCCTCTTAGAAGCCCCTAAATAAATAGAAGGAAATACTTAAAAAAAAAAAACTAAGTACCTGGAAAATTACTGTGCTATTTAAATGATACATAAGATGAAACATATTCTAGGAATAAACTTTACTGATTTTAAACTGTAAAATATACATTATTCTGAAAACTCAAGCTATATTTCATGACCAACTCTTTCCAGGCATTAAATATTACTTTCTCAAGAATTATTTAATACACATTTTTTAAAAAGTGTTCTTGAAAAAAACAGCTGGTATAAAGTATTTTAAAATCCAAGCAGTGAATTCCTGTTTTCAGCAAGGACATTCATTTTAAATATTTTAAAATACTTTACACAAACCCACTTTTCTTCAAATTATGGACTTAAACACATGCAATTTACTTTAAACCCAAATGGGTATTTTGAAACAATGTGATCAACTACCTCACATTCTTATTTTTCAAATGTTTGAAAGTTTCATTAATTTGAGAAATGACTACAAAGCAACTGCACTGATATTCATGTGAACATATATTCAAATATTACGTTCTCCAAGACACCTGCGGAGGCTACCTCAAGGATAACATCATTGCTTAATACATTTTACAAATCTCTCGTTAGGCATTATCACCAAAACTTGACAAGTGTTCTTTTAGGCATGCTCAGTAATAGTAAATCTTATTCAATTATGTATGGATATTACTTCAAATAGGAATTCAATAGCTCTAGTGCTCAATTTACAAATCTTTATAAAATTCCTCTGAAGTAAAATCCTGAATGAAAACTAATATTAAAATTCTAGTGTTTGAGTTTCATTAATACGGGGTACCCAGAGTAGTCAAATTCATAGAGAATAAAGTAGAACAATGGTTGCCAAAGGCCAGGAGAGAGGGAGGAATGGGGACTTGCAGAATTTCAGTTCGGAAAGATGAAATTTCTCTCTCTTTACTTCAAAGATACCATAACAAAGGATTTTTACAGGATGATATACCAACTCTTTCAAAGAGCAGACAGTCCCAATTCATTTTAAAAACAGTTTCAAAGAAGAGGAGGAAAAGACCTCACTTTATGAAGCTATTACATCCTTGACACCAAAAAGGAAAAATACACGGCAAGAAAAGAAAAACTATTAATATCACAGTCTATATCTCTCATGAGTATAGACACAAAAATCTTAAATAAAACATAAGAACTGGAATGTGAGATATGAACTTGGCATTACTTGCGCAACAGGATTTCTACAAAGAATACATAAAAGAATCTACACACAATTAGAACTAACAGAAGAGTTCAGCAGGGATGCTCAATATAAGGTCAATATATAAAAATCAGTGGCATCCTTGTAGACCAGCAATAACCAACTGAAAAATATAACAGAGAAAAGATCTCATTCACAACTGAAACAAAAACTATAAGGTACCTAGGAACAAATTAATGAATACATACATAAAGAAACAAAAAGATACTAAAACTCAGTATCACAAAGAGAGCAATTTTCCCTGGATTCATTTAAAACCTAAAACAATTTCAACAAAATACAAACTGTTTCTCATGAAGAAATTATTCTAAAATTCAAACAGAAAGAGTGCCAGGAACAGTTAAAATAATTTTGAAGAAGCATAAGGTAGAGGAAACGTGGGATTGAAACAAGGTTATTCAAACAGAGCAGTAAGTAAGAGAGCTTAAAAATGGAACTTGTATATTACAGCAAAGCACTACTATTCAGATTGGCTATTTGATAAATGGTGCAAAAAGCACCACTCATATGAAAAACTAAAGTCGTTACTCATAACATAGATAAAAATGAATTTCAAGAGATTAGAGTTGTGAATTAAAAAATCAAATTTAAAAAACTGCTGGGAAAAAACAGCAGACCATTTTTATGATTTTTAGAGGTAGGGAGGGATTTCCTAAAACACAAGAGGCAAAGAAAACACAAAGTGAAAAGACAAGCTACAGAGCAGGATAAGATGTATGCAAATGCAAGTAACTGACAAAGAATTAGAACAAGATAACAACAAAAGACAACCTGACAGAGCAGTGGACAAAGGCAACAAATAGGCAAATCACAGAAGAGAAACCCCAAACAGCCAATAAACATATGAAAACACTGAGGCATAAGGGAAATAAAAATACAAATCAAGACAGGCTTGAGATATTGTTTCAAAGGCTGACAGAAACCTAAAAGCCTGAGAACACCAAGATGGGGCAAAATGGGGAATTCCAACTCTATACTGCGAGTGTAAATTAAAATAACCACTTGAGTTGAAGATGCCTGTATGTTAAAATGCCACGACTACACTTTTTGGTACACACCCCATGAACATTCTTGGTCAGGTACAAGGAAGATAGGTATTACAGTAGTAAAACATTTGGAAACTCTATGTCCATCAGCAAAATAATGAGTAAATGAATTAAAAGTACATTTATACATTAAATCTCTCTACTGCAGTTTAAATGAACAAGTTAGTGGTACACATACTGTCATGTATATTCTCAATAACTTAAACATGGCATTTGCTAAAGTGTTGTACTGAATGGTTTAAAAAAAAAAGTTTATGTATGTGTGTGTGTGTGTAAGTAACAGTAACAGCAGCAACAACAAATGAAAAGATGAGTAACAGAACTAACATTTGAGCGCTTATTATACAGAAGGCACACTTCTAACTGCATGTAGGTGCCTAAAGACAGTCCTAGGGGACAGATTCTACTACTATTTCTCTCTAACACGATTACTCTTTTATTACTATGAGATTTCATTACTCATTCTACAGATGAGGAATTTAAGTGGAGAGAGGTGAAGCTGATCTAAAGCTATAAAACTAGTAAATAATAAGAGTTAGATATGAAGCCAGGATTCCTGACCCATACTTTACAGCTTAATAACTATGTTAGTTATTACACCATTTTTCTATTCATTTTAGGATGTCGGAAATCCAACATTATTTCTGTAAGTTGGAAATAAAAAACACTTATAGAACCTATGACTATAAAGAAATGAATACACACACACATTTTTGTATAGCTCAAACTGGTTCTAAAGATGCTAAAAGATTCTTAGAAATGTCTTGAAAATAGTGGCATCCCAACTACTCTAATTTACTAATTTACATGTTTGAGGTCTGGTATTTTTCAGATCATTATTTCAGAGACAAACATTATTTCTTTTATAATCCTAAGATAATATATATTTGGAATCCTAGAAACCTTACATGGAGAAGCATATGATGTAATTCAATCATCTCTTTCTCTCTCATTAGAGGCAAAATTTGATTACTTAGCTTCAGGCCTGGAAACTCATATTAAGAGTTTTTAATAAGCAATTCTATCAAGAAATGCAATAAAATTTCAATTATTCATTTTTTCTGGCCTCTCAATTATAGGTTGGTTTTTAAAAAGCCAGTAGCTAATATTTATACAGTAAAAATATAATTTTGTGTAGAAGTATTTATACTACAAAATAAAAAAGGAAATGGCATTTTCAGTCATCAAGTATTTACGAGAATTGACTATGTGCTAATTACACACTCCTTGTTTCCAGTAAAACTGGAACATTTCTTAAAAATGTCTTTTCTTCTCAATTTACACATTCCCATTCTCAATGCTATCATCTACTAATGTATAGAACATGCTTTGAAAAAATATGAAAAAGATGTTCTTACATTTAAAGAGTTCACTGACTATTAGGGGAAAGAGACAAGTAAACGAAAGTTATCTATAATGCCTAAGTACTTTAATAAAGTGAGCAAGTCACTTAACATTTCTAAGCCTCAAATGAGATAGATGTTTAAGAACTCTAAATTATAGAGAGAATAATCATCTCTAAGGTCCTCTCTAGATCTAAAATTCTATGATTATCCAATCTCTTTAAATTAAAAGGTAAATCACAAAATATTCAGTATGCAAAAAAGAAAAAATACCAACTAAAAGATGAACTGTTTGTACAAATGCATTCTAATTTTTCAAAACTATTAAAACTCCCATTCTAAGTATCAGTAAAATTTCCACAGACACTGTCTTTTAATCAACATCTTCCCCTCAAACCTGCAGACTTCTAAATAATCAACAAGCAACTATTTTGTGATAACAGAAGTAAAGTGCTTAAAAGCCCATGGCCTGGACTCACGAAAGTGGTCTTTTAAAAGGAACATGTTAACAGAAACGTGTGTATGACATTCTTACTACAAAAAATTTGTTCATTAACTTCACTTCAAAATTTTAATGTTCAGATTTCTCATGAAGAGTTTAAAAAACAAAACAAAACAGCTAAGATTAGCTCTCTTCACTGTTAAATACTTTGAAATTTAGAACAAGGTTTCCCTTACCTGATATGGACATGGAATGTGATATTCTCTGCAGCGTTCTTGTATCCACGTTGTTTCCCAGATGCCGCGGTAAGCTTGCTCATAAAAGTAGCATCCAATTACAACCAAGAGTGGTACGAGATACAGAATGCTGAAAACACCAATCCGGATCATAAACTTCACCAGTTTATCTTGGTTCTCCTTTTCTAATGGAATCTCAATTCGCACTCTGTTTAGGGATATAATGCCGGCTAAAAGGAGTGAAACCCCAACTACCACATACAGGCAGAGGGGTGCAAGAACAAAATACCTCAAGGCATCAACATCGTAGAGGCCAACAAAACACACGCCACTGATATTGTCACCTTCAATTTTATTCATCGCTAAAAGGATGATGGTCAGAGTTCCAGGAATGCCCCACGCACTGGCGTGAAACAGCAAGGCTTTCTTCTCAATAGCTTCACTACCCCACTTTGGCACAGCTGCCAAGAACCACGTGATGGTAAGAATCACCCACCAAACGCTGCCAGCCATAGTAAAAAAATAGAGTACCATAAAAAGCATGGTACAGGCTTTGTTATGAGATCCTTGGGTCACTGTGGAAGCCTTATACTGTGCAGGGCTGGATGCATTGCAGGCGACTCGGTCCTCAAGCAAAAACCCAATAAAGAAAATTAATGACACCATCATGTAGCAGACGGCATAAAATATAATGGGTCTTTCAGGATAACGGAATCTTGTCACATCAATCAAAAAAGTTAAAAAAGTAAACAATGTGGCAGAGAGGCAAATGATTGAAATCAATCCTATGAAATACCGAGCAAATGAAAGCTCTTCTCTTCTAAAGTACATATTTGGACAAGGAGGTGAACAATCACGCACGTGCAAAAAGGAATAGCCAAGATCAGGATCAATTTTCAACTCTCGGGGACACCAAAAGCCATAGTCCCTCTGCACTGCCACTGAGGCTCCTTCAGTAGGATCGCCAGCTAAATTCAGGTCCACCAGCCGAGGATACGGCTCATCACAATCTGGGAATCTAAAAACACAAGACAAGAATCATTTACTTATTGGGAACCTAATGATTTGGATTTTCACATTTAGCAGTTGTGGTTTATTTATGCTTATGTCCTTGGAGAACATTACGATATGTCAAAGAAGTAATGCAAATATCTTGCTTGTGGGTCATATTATAAGATATTTCACAGTTGGCAAAAAAAACAAAATATGTATACTTAAATTTTGTTTTGGCTTCAAAAATATTATTATTTATTAAAACAGGCAAACCAATAATAAATAGTGTAATTAATACTAGTTATTTAGGACACACAGTTTACAGTAAGATTTCAAGCTATAAATAAGTATATATATAAAATAAACATACATAAATATAAAGCTCCAGTAGAATAGTAGCTAAAAGTTTTTTTTTAATATTTAATTACCAGATAGTTCTCATTTACCCTATACTCAAATAGAACTTTCTTAAAAATAAGAGGTAAAAATCTTCCCTAGGAGAACAAGATGGCGGAGGAGTTGGTGGAAGTGGAGTACATCTCTCTCCAAGGTACATCAGGAATACACCTTCAGACACAGAAGTGCATGCAGAACACCAGTTAACGGTGGACAGGAGGACCTGACCAATGGAAAATAATATATAGGACCACATAAAACTCAGTAGGACAAAGGAACTACGGGGAAAAACAGGAGTGTTGGTAGGACTGGACCTGCCCTCGGTTGCGGGGGGAACTGAAGCAGGGGTCCAATCCCCACATCAGGGCAATTGTCTGAATCAGAGGAGAAACATTTAAGGCTGAGAGTGAAACAGCTGATCTGTGGCAGCCTAAATGGAATGAGAATCCTTGCCGAAGCCATACATACCCCGGACAGGGACACTGGTAGCCTGGAAGGTGCAGCAGCTGGGAGCTGGAGTTTAGGGACTGTGGAGCAACCCCAGGGTGAAGGCTGCTGTTGACCGCAGAGAGATGGACTGAGGGGATGTGAGGGAGAAGAGTGACTGAGGGGATATGAGGGAGGAGATCGTGGTGGGAAATGCCTGTGGAGTAAACCAGGCAGCCATGGAAGCAAGGCAATACTGCTGAGTCACGGGTAGGGGATGGAGCCATCACTATAGCCTCTCTCTCCACACACGCCAGCATCAGCAGCTGAACAATAGAGGCTGGCCCATCAAACGCCTGACACAGAGCTACAGAGCAGGACCCCACCCAAGGTGCCACTGTAAGTGCCAGAGGCGCCAACCTACAAACTAGGATCCCAGCCAGGGGGCCGCCTCTATGTGCCTGACACACCAAACAACAGAGAAGGACCCCAGGCAAGGGAGCCCACTAACTGCCTGACCAGGCGGAGCTACAGAGATAGGATGGCCAAAGAGGCCTTTCTATCGTCAGCTACAAGAGGCTCGAAAAAAGACTGATAGGGACATAACTCCTGCAGCAGAGGCAGTCCGTGTCCTTGCACACTTGGCGCTGCCACGGTCCCTGCAAGCCAAGCAGCTGTGCCACCTTCCTGCTCAATTCTCACTGGGGCAGAGCTGCCACAGGCAAAGAAAGCCTTGCGTCTATGCCCACACGGTCGCTTCAGTAGTGTCCAACTCTTTGCTGCCCTGTAGACTGTGACCTGCCAGGCTTCTCTGTCAAGGAGTGGGGCTCCCCAGGCAAGAATACTGGAGTGTATTGGCCAATACTGGTCGCCATACCCTTCCAGAGCACTGTATTTCCTGCTGCCCTAGCCACCAACTTCCCTGAGTACTGGTGCTGGCCAGAGCCCCTCTGACCCAAGCAGCTAAACCACCTCTACACCTGGCCCTCACAGGGGGCAAATCCAAACCCTCCAGGGCAGCCTCAGGAGCAAACCCCAGTGGAGGACCCACATGTACAGGTGGAAATAAAACCACAACTGAAACCCAGGGGCAGTGTGGCTAAGGAAGAAGACCTAAAACCTTACCAACAGCTGTACAAGCTACAGATTAAATCCACATGATCAACGAGGCAGACTCTGTGTCTATGGTATATATAAAAGGTCATTGAGAATTCCCACAAAAGAAAACTCACTAGTTCTGACAGCTGTGGACACTCAAGGCAAAAACACACAGGAGTAAGACTAGATTAGAATCTGAGCTGCCCCCACAGCAGGTCCAGAGATCAGCACAGTGTTGGAGGGCATCCTAGGGAGGTTAAGTGGACTCTGACTCCCAGCAAGGGAAAGGACTGACAGCAATGACTCAAGAAAAACATTTATTATCCCTATTTTTTGACTTGCTCTGTAGATTCTTTTGGATTTTTTTTTTTCTTTTTTCCCCTTTGCTGTAGCTGTTGATTTTACTGGCACCGTGAAATCCAATTAAACTTTCGAGCTTTATTTTTTCCTTAGTCACATTTTTTATTGTTGTTATAAACTTCTGCCTCTACATTGGGCTTTTGCAGTTCTGTGGAGTTTTCCTCTTTTTTTTCTTTTCTTTTAAATTTTTTAAACCTATTTTTATTTTTTCTACATTTATTCCTTTGTTTGCTTTTCCTATGGTTCTTTTCCCCTTGCAGGTAATCTTTAACATATATAAATCTTCTTTATCTACCTCTAACTTTGCATATCTATTCTTTTGTTTCTTTTTCTCCTTGCCTCTCAATCTATTTGTTAGTTTTATTTTCAATACTTTAATCCCCAGTTGGCACCTTGCTTTAGTTTTGTTTTCCAGTTTGTGCTTTGGCTAGTTTTGTTCTGGTAGATATAATTTTTGGTTTCTTTTGTTCACTGGGTCAATCTATTGTACTTTATTTTTGTTGGACTTTTTTGATTTTGCCTATGGGTGTACATGTACATGTGTATATTCAGTCACACTTTTTAATGTTGTTATAAACCTCTGCTTCTACATTGGGCTTCTGCAGTTCTGTGGAGTTTTCCTTTCTTCTTTCTTCTTCCGTTTTTTTTTTTCTTTTCTCCTTTTTATAATTTTAATTTTTTTAAGCTTATTGTATTTTTTGTACACTTATCCATTTCTTTGCCTTTTCTACTGTTTTTTCCTCTTGCAATTAATCTTTAATGTATATAAATCTTCATCTATCTCTATTTAAATTTGCATATCCATTCTTTCTTTTCTTTCCGTCCTTTCCTCTCAACATATGTGTTAGTTTTGTTTTCATTGCTTTATTCTCCACTTGGCACCTTGCTTTAGTTTCATTTTCCAGTTTCTGCTTTAGTTAGTTTTGTTCTTAACTGGTAAATATAATTTTTGATTTCCTTTGTTTGCCAGATCAATCTACTATATTTTATTTTTGTTGGACTGTTTTGACTTTGCTCATGGGTATATATGTATATGTGTATATTCCATTATTTTAATTATTATTTGCCTGATTTTGCAACTGCCATTTGTCTGGGGTTCATCTTTGGTTTCTCATTTTTGGATATTTGTTTTAATCTCACTTAATGCCCTAACAAACCACTTGTGGAACCTTCGTTTCTGACCAGAGATCAAGCCCTGAACCTTTGGAGTGGGAGCACTGACTCCAAGACCCTAGACTACCAGAGAACTAACCATAGGGAGTATCAAATAGTGAGAACTCACACAAATGAAACTACTTGAACAAAAGACCCAGTGTCACCCAACTACCAGTAGTACCCTGTGCAGGACGCCTCATCTAAACAACAAACAAAACAAAAATACAAACTCAATCATCAGCAGACAGGATTACGACCTCACTCAGCCTTGCACATCAGAGGAAAAACAAACAAACAAACAAAAACTCAGCACAAATCTCACTCTACAAGAAGCTTACACAAACCACTGGACCAGCCTTAGGAGGGCAGAAACCAAAAGAAAGAATTCAACCTTCTTCAAGGAAAGAATTCCAACTTTGCTTGAAGCCTGGGAAAAGGAGACTTCAAATACAAGTTAAAAAAAAATTATGAAAAGGCAGAGAAATACTACACAAATGAAGAAGCAAACTAGAAACACAGAATTCCAAATAAATGAAGAGGAAATAGACAAACTACCTGAAAAACAATTCAGAATAATGATAGTAAAGATGATCAAAAACCCTGAAAACAAAATGGAGAAAATGCAAGAATCAATTAACAGAGACCTAGAAGAATTTTAAAAAAGAGTGAAAAGAACTGAGGATAGTCTCAGAGACCTCTGGGACAATAGCAAATGCACCAAAATTAAAATTAAAGGGGTCCCAGAAGAATAAGAGAAAAAGAAAGGGTATGAGAAAATTTTTGAAGAGACTATAGTTGAAAACATCCCCAAAGTGGAAAAGGAAATAGTCAATCAAGTCCAAGAGGCTCAAAGAGTCCCATACAGGATAAATCCAATGAGAAACACACCAAGACACACACTAACCAAAGTAACAAAGACTAAACACAAAGAAAGAATATTAAAAGCAGCAAGGGAGAAGCAACAAGTAACATAAAAGGGAAACCCCATACACTTAACAGCTGATCTTTCAGCAGAAACTCTGCAGGCCAGAAGGGAATGGCAGGATATATTTAAAGTACTGAAAGGGAAAAATCTACAACCAAGATTACTGTACCTGGCAAGGATCTCATTCAAAATTGATGGAGAAATAAAAAGCTTTTCAGACAAGCAAAAGTTAGAGAATTCAGTACCACCAAACCAGCTTCACAACAAATGTTAAAGGGACTTATACAGTCAAGAAATACAACAGAAGAAAAACGATCTAAAAAATCAACCCCAAACAATTAAGAAAATGGCAATAGGAACATATATATCAATAATTACTTTAAATGTAAATGGATTAAATGTTTCAACCAAAAGACACAGACTGGCTGAATGGATACAAAAGCAAGACCCATATATATGCTTGTCTACAAGAAACCCACTTCAGACCTAAAGACACATATAGACTGAAAGTGAGAGGATGGAAAAATATATTGCATGCAAATGGGAAGTAAAAGAAAGCTGGAGTAGCAATCCTCATACCAGACAAAGTAGACCTTAAAATAAAGAAGATTACAAGAGATAAGGAAGGACACTACATAAGATCAAGGAATCAGTTCAAGAGGAAG